GACCTAAACTCCCTGCCAGCTCCATCGCTGAGCATCTGCTCGATTGTACCTTGTGCGAAAACCCACGTGACGCATTCAAGGTTATCAGCAGACGAAACAACGCGAGCTTGCTTCGTTTCACTGAAGCCTCGGCCATTCGACGAATGAAACCAACCCTTTGCAAACAGGTAGACCTTGTGGCCAGTCTTGCCTTGCCCTGGTAAGACGCAGGCAATGATCTTGATTTTCTCAGTGTTTCATTGATTTTCTATTGACCCCATTTTTGATTGCATTCCTTTACTCTTTCCACGAATTGTCTGTAAGCGGCTGAGTGAGACGAAATAATCTGAATCCAGATTATCCCGTATAAATGCTGTTCGTACTTGCTCTCTTAAAATAGTGGAATCTGTAGGGAAAATCTTTAGTTGGAACCGAGTTCAGTGGGACCAAACTGACTATAAAGTATTCCGCATATATATTTTTATGTATTTAACCCTTACCCAATACACATTTGCTAGAGTGCCACAACACATGAGTAACAACAACATAAAGGAGGAAGAGAGAGTCGAGAGAAGCGATACGAAGTTCCATGTGCTTTGGGAGCAGTGAGGTCGTCCCTGTTTCCCAGGACGAGACAGAGGGTTGACTTGAAAGGGTTTCACCCCAAGCATTTGGTCTTAAAAACCTGTCGCGCAAGGCAGCGGGGTGAATACGAGGACTGTTGACAGACATGTGGCTCATTCGCCTTCTTTATTTTCGGTTGCAGTCCACAGAGAAGCCGGTGGCCAGCGAGGTTGTTCCTCCGCCCTGCGTTAGTTACTCACCCCCAGTTACAGGAGTGAGTGGTCAATGACCATATAGCCGGTCACATTGGCTTTGACAAAGAGCTGTACGAGCACTTCTGGTATTTAATGGAGAACCAGGTGACCAGCCCAGAACTTCCTAGGTTATGAGACGCTGCCGCTGATTGTTCGCGACTGCTTATTAATCTCCCTCGCAAAGCAGACGAGACGGATTCATAGTTACATCCACGAGGAAGGCATTTACCGATCCGCAATTTGAGGACGCGCCGGATAGCGTACAGCTCTGTAGAATGAAAGAGCTCAAGAATTGGAGAAAACAGGAGTGACGAGCAGTTATCACAGAATATTTCAACTGATCTGCACAACTAGTCACAGGAACGCACGTGTCATTGAGAGCATTAGAGATAGAAACAGTGCTCTTATTCACAGTAGGAAGCACCACCTTATTCGTCTGGCGGATAACCGGTAACCACCCATTGGATTCAGTGGTACTGGTCCGCCTCGCTTCTAGGAAGCACAGGTTGGGTGCGTTCATCCGAATTTAAAATCGCAGTCCGCAGTTTCTTTCACATGCGCTGTTTATAGAACCGAAGCACCCATCACAAGACATACGAGAAGCAGCAACTGCCCCAGTCAGCTGGGGATAATTGATCACAGCAATGTTCGAGAAGAGTAGTTGCACCGTTCATAATTCTCAGATACTAAGGGACACTGTGTCGTTGTTAAAGCATGCGCGTATTCGGTCCGTATACATACATTGTCGTCATCAACAGTAGTACATCAGTCATTTGAATTGATGCTTCGCTGACATACAACCACGGTGAACTACTGAACTAAGAATAATAACAGGGTTGGACCTAGCGGGAAACCTTAGTGCCCTAAGCAAACATTCAGGATCAACAAAATATCGTCACAAACATAAGGTGGCATCGGCGCGACAGCTTCATTGCGGCTTTCACTGTCCGGCATCATAATCAGTCATTTACTCCGCAGATAACTCAGCACCAAACACAATTTAAACAGGAAGTCCGACTATGAGACGACGGCAGATGCGCCTCTGCTGTCAACTGCGAGCCATGTCCAGTAACATCTCGAGCCAGGCACAACGCAGGTCACGTGAACTCCAGCCTGGAAGACGAAGCGGCCCAACAGTACCCACTTCGGTTGTCGGTTGCTTCATTTCCCACTGCCACCGACCCGTGGCCTAAGAAATCACAAGCCTGCCTTGTAATCCCAGGGCGCGTGTTCAAGCCTGCGTAGGGGACTGGGCGACCCTCACAGTATCCTTAGCCCACGCGCGATTGTTGTTGGTTTTACGGCAGCGAAGCGTTGGTACTGCGTACCGGCGTACTGCTGATACCTACCTTTCCTGCTGCCAAATACACTTTTGACTATATCGAGCTTCGCGCCACCCTACGTCTGATCAACAAATCAAGGCTCTCTTGTTAGGCGTTGACCGGGCTTGTGTAGCACATGTCCAAGCCAACGCTACTTAGGTTATTTGTTCCAAAGAACAATACCTAGCACTTTTACGCACATCTCCGCTGCGGATACGCGGGTGCCATCCGACACCGCGGGTAACGATCAAAGTGTTGAAGGCGCCTCAGATCACTTGTAACTGCCATAGAGGAGGACAGTCCTCACTGGAGTCTTTTACACACGGCTGTTCTAGCTTTCGCAACATGTGAACTAACTACGGCGATCACGGGCCTATCGCTGTCGATGCAATTTCCAAGATAGGCGAAATGATCAAATACCATGAGTTCCTCGTTATTAAGGGTCAAGTGGTCATCAGTTGGCTGGTGGTACTTCAATAATTGCATTTTGAAAGTGCGAAGCGCATTCCAGCTGATGGGACCATTCCATAAAGGTTATCAAGGGTTGACTGAGACACCCGAATATCATCCGCATAATCGTGATCAGCAGGTTTTCTGCGAGGCGGCACCTCAATGTATGCATCGTGAGGTACTGCTAGGCGTCCATGATAATGTAGTAAAACAGTTTTTCTGTACTATGTAGACAGCACGATGTAGATTTTAGGTAGTCGTCATATTCTACTCCGAATAAACTCTGGAGGAGCCTTCCTCGCTTCCTTTAAGAGGGGAAGTGCTGCCGCATGGCTACTATCCACTTGATTATCTTTGGGCTCTTGCGGACGATGAATCCGAGGTAGCTGATTGATTCACCTATTTTGGCAACATTGAGAGCATGATTACTAAATTTTGCTTTCAAGTTGTTAAAATATTCTATTGGGTGTTCGACGTCCGTTGTGACACGGAGAGATTTGCATCGATATTGAAGTACCACAGTGAAGGTTGATCTCCTCCATGGCATTAATACTCGGCTCATTTGTAAGAATAATTTTGGACACTTTCAAGTCTTTGATATCAACGCAGCATTTGGAGAGCACTATTAGTGTCGAATGGCATAAGTGTTTCCGCAACCATGAGATAACAGTCGAATGATGAGATTTTTGAGTCTAAAACTAGACCACAAATTGTGTGGGTTTGATACGCTCTCTACCACAGAGCCTTGCTTCAGTGGCTTGAACGGGTAAAAGTTGACCGTAGTGGAAGATAGAGTCTAGAAATGACTAAACCGGATCCTGTTAGCCCGTCTCGTCTCATCGGCCAAAATTACGTAAACCTAACCCGAGACTTTACAGTCGGCAACAACGGCACGTCTGTTGCCGTCTCCTAGTCGGGCGCTTTAGTAGCAGCATCTGTTACCGAGTTGTATTTGTACGTAATGCTGGTATTCGCCATAACCTTCGCCACTTATGGCGCCGGCGCGAAATCACTCTTGCCCTGAAGGGTAGAGTGTACAATGCAGCAGTACCTTTGACCCTATTGTACGGTTGTGAAACCTGGCCACTTAAAGCAGCGGACCTGAAGAGGCTAGTTACGTTCGACCACCGGTGCCTTCGTAATTTAGCTCACATCTGGTGGGAACACCGCGTGAGCAACGAGCGTGTTCGACGCCTTGTTTATGGCACAGGAAAAGGAACTGAACCGCTCAGCACCGTTATTTCACGCATCAGGCTCCGATGGCTCGGCCACGTGTTACGCATGCCAGCTCACCGACTTCCGCGACGTGTGTTGTTTGCGCGCCGGGGGTGTGGATGGAAGAAGAGGAGGGGTGGCCAAGCGATGAATTGGTCTAGAGGAATGAAGGCCCTCACTTCAGAGTTGGCCTCGGTTGGAGCGTCTCGGCTCCCTGGTTGGGGTCCGAAAGACGATGAACACGTTTGGTTGGACACACTTGCTGATATGGCTAGGAGCCGACCTCAGTGGCGTTCGTGCTGTAGGTTTCTTTGTCCCACCCCATCCCTCTTAGCCTCCCCCCGCCAACCACGATCTCATTACTTAGCCTTATATAATTTTGCATAGTAATTTTTTTTTGATGCACAGCAGCCGGCTGGTAGCTTACCGGAACGATGCCCATCCGTTACCGGTAGCTCAGCCAGCTTTCACCAGTTGTTTTTTTTCTCTCCTTATTTCTTTGTATTGCGGCACAGTAGCTGAGGTGTTCCCCACCTCTAGCTAACGTGTATGATGATGATGATGAATGCTGGTATTCGTACAGAGCAACAACGCATACCAGTAGTCAACTGGTGCTGTTCACAATCTGTCAGCGTATTCACCCCGGACGTTCGCTTACTACTTATGGGTCTTCCGTCTCATTATTTCTTATGCAGATGGAATCACTGCAGTTGAATGGCAACGAAACAGTAGTGTAAAACAACCAGTGGGTGTTTGGAAAATTCCAAAATCACCCGGGATGCTTGCAGTCCGGTTCCCAACAGCTGCCCGAATTAAGGAAATGGCCCATTGGAGAATACGTGCTTCATGTATTTACTAGTGCTGTGATTGTACCATATTCCCCTAGTCCATTAGCTCACATTATTCACAAAGTCCTGTGCTTTGTTTCAACTTCAGGTACGGCCTAAAATGTGCAAGCAAAAAATTCGAATAAAAAGACGTCAGCAATATAACTGAATACAACATGCTCGTACTGGATATCATCCATTAGCTCTGTTGAATGCTATGTTGTTAGAAGGCCGACGTCGATTTCATTTGATTTGATTCAGTATTTGACCGTTTTCTACTCTGCATATATATTCTCATCTCGAAATTCGTCCGTTCATTAACAATCGATTCATTCTGAGCTCGTAGTCAGGCCGAAATATTCCATTAGTCCCCCTTTTCTCTCTTTTAGAAACTGCAGAAAATGTTGAAAACGACTTTAGATCCGGTAATGCAACAAAAGATAAAAAAGGCTCTACATCTATTGAGACAGCGTGACGCCACCTACAAAGACCGGGAATTTCGCAGTAAATTAATGAGGGAGCTTCAAGAATCACAAATGTCCCAACTTCAAGCCGGAAAGCGCGTAAAGTTTCTCACACGAGGTTAGGGTTTTCCATTGTTTCACAAAATAACTTTTTTGGTGCCCTTTTTGTCACGAGATAATCAAAGGTTGTTTGGCTGAATAGGCTGTTGTTGACACAGTGCTAAATTGTTTTCTTCTTCGTTTCAGCCGAACTCCGAAGGAAGCTAAAGGAGGAACGGATGAAAAACATGAACAGAAAGCAGCGAGTGAAGTACCTCCAGCGACAGGAGCGCAAAAGACCTCTTTCTTCAGAATTGTCAGACACAGTGTGATATATCTGCTGGATATCCCAATGTAACCGTTGTTAAGAGCAACTCGCTTTTTCATCTAAATAAATAAATTGTTCGTCAACGATGCGAGAGACTATTCCCACTTAAGGAAAGATCGAAATACGTACAGGTTTTTTCATTTAGCCCCCTCTACTTATTAGATGGGAATATGCATTATGTTATATCCATGTCAGTTTCACACATGCACGTTGTTCAGGGTGAAGTGCAGAAGATTGTGCTAGGATTATATCCTTCGTTAACGGATGTCCCGTCGATCTGAAACATGGCTAACTATATTGATTTGGAGCAATGAGCATCGATGTGGCTTACCAGTCTACTTTAACTAATTGGTCCACTGGAATGCCTTCAGACTAGTGGTTGTCAAACACCATCTCCACTTTTTAAAGTAGTAACGGTACACTGACACTGTATGATACTTCACCGCCACGAGACTGCAATCGGTTGTACGCACGCTGAACAGAGATCCAAGCCCTGGGAATGTAGCGTCCAGAAAGATAATTACTATCTTTTGTGTGCTATTTCACTGTTGACCAATTGTACATTGTTCTTTGTTGTTTTACTCTTCCTTACAACCGGCACGTCACTAGACCGTCTTGTAAGTTCCCGCATTAACGTGCTGCTCTTGCCTCGCTTTATCCGTCCGCGTCTTCTTGTAACCGATCGAATACAGTACGCAATGAGGCTGGACTCCATCGCAATGAGGCTGGACCTTACCGTGGTGCGATGGTTTGTGTGCCTCAGCGATCCATTGAGCTATGCTGGGTGGTGCTTTTGCACCATCAGAGTCACTCATACCAGATTGGTCAATGGTTAGAGGCTAGACAAACTCAGCCTCCTGGTCCTCCAGGTTGGGGGTTGGAATGAGGGTGGCACCTTATTCCTTAAAACGGACTCCTTGTAGCCCAACGCCAAACCCGCTGCCTTGCGGTCAGGTTTTTGAACCAAAGGATTTGGTTGAGAACCCCAATCGTTCTCCTGTCTAGGCCTGGGCAACCTGACAGTATCCTGCCCACGCAATACAATGAATCACATTTCAAACAAATTTCTGATGCTCTGGCCACCGCATAGGATAATCAACGGTGCCCTATCTACTGCATCGAGCAGGGTGGATAGGGGTTTGGATGCTACTGCTAAAGCCTTCCCGTCTTCTTATTCCCCCTCTTATGCTTTTCCACTCTTACCGTCCCCTTCCAACTTCACTTATATCCCCCCCCAGTTTTCAACCCCCGATTCTTGGCCATCCCCCAACATGCTTTGCTAGGCATTTATCTTCTAATTTCAACTCACATGTGAACGCGGAGCGTCACTCCTCTCCTGTCAACAAGCCCATGTCCAACCAAGCGGTCCATTCCAGTTCATCAGCTTCCATTTGGAGCCCTCGATCCTCCTTCAGATTGGCATGCCTCAATGTACGCACACTACTACAAATCGATCAACAGGTAGCACTTGCCCGAACATTGGAGACCCTCTCGATTGATATCTGCTGCTTATCGGAGACCCGCCTGCAAGACTCGAGCTCTGTACTCACTCTGAGATCCCCTTCAGGTGACACTACCATCACTTTCTCATTGCGCCTATCCGGTGACGATGCAGCTTCGAGCACCGGCCAAGCTGGTGTTGGCATTGCCCTGAGTCCCGGGCTGAAGCTGCTCTGGTTGATTGGATTCCAATCAGTAGTCGGATGTGTGCGGTCCGATTGGCTGACTCGTTTAAAGCTTCAAAGTCGCGCGGCACTAATAGATGTCTATTCATCATCGCTGCCTACGCGCCCACAAACTGTAGCGATGATTCGGTAAAGAACGACTTCTACCGCCAACTGACTCAGCTCCTTCGCCACAGAAGAAGCACGGACACTGTTGTGCTGGCGGGGGATATGAACGCACAAGTTGGAATGTTGTCCACTGATGAAATGCATTTTGGCGGTCAGCACGGTGTAGGATCCCGTAATGATAACGGTGGGTGGTTACTTCATTTGTGTGAAGATGCTCGCTTATTTCTTGCGAGCACTAATTTCCGACACAGCACCCGCCGGAGGGTGACTTGGCGCCCACCAGCCTTGGACGCAGATCGATCACATTGCTATTAGTTACCGCTGGAGAGGCTGCATCCAGATTTGTTGCTCGATTTGGGGCACATGTGTGGACACCGATCATGCACAAGTATGTGCTGACATGCGGATGCGCTTTGGCGGACGCCCACGACGACGCTGTGAGCGCATTGACACCAGCCAAATGACAAAGCCAGCTGTTCTGAATGCGTATCGAAGTACGCTGACATGCGAGTTGAGTAAGCGCTCACTGGAGACAATTGATGGTCACTGGTCACATGTTCAGCAGACCATACTAGCAGCAGGCAAATCCTCATGTGGTATGTCTAAAAGCCCACATGGTTATTGGGTCTCTTCGCAGTCTCTGGAGCTTATCGACGCTCGCCGGCATATCCCGACTGGAAGCGAGCACAATGAAACTCGCAAAGAGCTCCGGACAAAACTCCGCGCTAGCCTGAAGAGAGACCGCGAATCTTGGTGGTCTCATCGTGCATCAGAGATGGAAGTGGCCGCTGCCCTTGGCAACCATCGTAAGTTATTCCTTCTGATACGTGAAACGAGCAGCAGGAGATCTGGTGTTAGTGAAACAATTTGTGATGAGAGTGGACAGCCTATCCACAATTTGTCAAAACCTTTGGAGGGTTGGGCTGAGCATTTTGAAAAGCAGTTTAATCGACCATAATTGTTCGGTTCTTTGCCGGCCAGTGATCGCCCTGCTCCGTGGGCTGTCCGTTTGGATCCACCCTCTCGCTCAGAAGTCGAACGTGAGATCGGACTGTTGAAGTTGAACAAAGCCGCGGGACGAGATGATCTTCCTCCAGCCCTCTTCAAATTTGGAGGCTCTGAGCTTGTTGATGCTTTACATGAATTACTAATGAAACTGTGGGAGGAGGAGACTGTCCCAACCGACTGGAGTCGCTCCGTTATTGTTCCCATCTTCAAAGGCGGCTCGCGCTCGGAATGCGGCAACCATAGAGGTATCAGTCTGATCTCCATCGCCTCCAAATTACTCGCCTCCATAATTCTTCACAGACTGACTGGCGCTCGTGAAAGCCAGATTCGTGAGGAGCAAGCCGGGTTTCGTCGGGGTGGTGGCTGCATCGACCTCATCTTCACCTTGCGTCAGTTGTTGGAGCACCGTCAAACATATTGGCGGCCCACCTTACTCGTGTTCCTCGACATCAAAGGTGTCTTCGATTCGGTTGATCGATGTGCCCTTTGGAATTGTTTACTCAGGAAAGGTGTGCCCGAGAAATATGTAAATATTATCCAAGCATTACATTTGCGTAGCACGGGCAGAGTGAGGGCTTACGGCAAGCTGTCACCACCCTTTAATATCTCCAGCGGTGTGAGACAAGGATGCCCGCTGTCACCTTTCTTCTTCAACTTCGCTATTGACGAAGTCATGGAGTTTGCATTTACAGGACATGACTTGGAAGGTGTGGAGCTACTCCCAGGAGAACGACTTCTTGACTTGGAGTATGCAGACGACATCGCCCTCATCTGTGACAGCTCCCAGACGTGCCAAGCCGCGCTGGACAGATTAGCACTAGCTGTCAGTCGCTTCGGGCTTTGCTTTGCACCCTCGAAGTGCAAAGCGTTCCTGCAAGATTGGTCTGGATCGCCTCCTACACTGATCGTTGGTGGGGATCAGCTAAAGTCGTTCAGAAATTCAATTACCTGGGAAGTTGTATCAACGCCGGTGGGATCGAAGACGAGATCACGAACCGTATAGCGAAAGCTCGAAGTGCTTTTGCTAACCTTCGCCACCTATGGCGGCGGCGCGACATCACTCTCGCCCTGAAGGGTAGAGTGTACAATGCAGCGGTACGTTCGACCCTACTGTACGGTTGCGAAACCTGGCCCTTAAGATCGGCGGACATGAAGAGGCTAGTTACGTTCGACCATCGGTGCCTTCGCAGTATGGCTCACATTTGGTGGGAACACCGCGTGAGTAACGAGCGTGTTCGACGCATTGTTTGCGGCCCAGGAAAAGGATCTGAACCGCTCAGCACCGTTATTTCCCGCACCAGGCTCCGATGGCTGGGCTACATGTTACGCATGCCAGCCCACCGACTCTCGCGACGTGCGTTGTTTGCTCATTGGGGATGTGGGTGGAAGAAGAGGAGAGGTGGCCAAGCGATGACTTGGTCCAGTGGAACGAAGTCCCTCACTTCGGAGCTAGCCTCGGTGGGAGCGTCACGGCTCCCTGGTTGGGGTCAAAAAGAAGATGAACACGTTTGGCTGAATACACTTGCTGACATGGCAAGGAGCCGACCTCAGTGGCGTTCATGCTGTGAGTTTCTTTGTCCCTCCCCATCCCTTTAGCCTCCCCCTCCATCTACGATCTCATTTCGTGGGATAAAACATAATAAATTATTTTGCCTAGTAGCTGGCTGGTAGCTTACCGGAACGATGCCTATCCGTTGCTGTTAGCTCAGCTGGCATGCAGCTGTTGTATTTGTTTTTCCTTTGTGTATTGTTCTATATGTATGTATGTATGTATGTTGAGGCTGATGTTGCATTCTTGATGCTTCTTCACTGCAGTTGGGCTAAACCAACTTACACTTAAAGTAGGTCTCTTTAAGCTGCATAAATTTCATTCCAGTTTATTTGGTTAGTTTTGTCTATCTGAATAGTCTTCTATTTGCTGGCCCCGTCGCTTACGCTAACTGCGCTTATCTTCGGTAATTTTGTTGCGTTTGTAGCATTTTTGAGTAACTTGTGGACATTTTTTCCTTATCGCGGATTCATTGCTAGCCAACTTACTTCATATGCTAATTTAGCGAAGAGTTATACCACCGTATCTATATGCATTATTGGATTTATTTTATTTCATCTTGTCGTTCAAGTGATTGGCTGTTGCGTGATATCCTCGGTGTGGCTGCGCTTGATGTGCATGTTGACAAGGTGCCTACCTGTTTATTACCCACTACCTCGTCCATACTGACTCCAGGAGACAGTTGGTCGTTGCTGGAGGGGACGGAGTGCACGGTCGTTGTGGCCGTGCTAGGCTCGAAGAGTGGTTCCATGCACTCAGTGTGGAGCGGACTACGGTCCAGCCACCGCCTTGTGTGCGC